TAACATTAAATTCCTATGGGTCAAAATCATTGCAGGAGCTTCCAACCTTAAATCTTGATGTTTGCTTAGATGCCTTTAATTAGACATATATTTTGAATTATCTTGGGGCAAAGAATCATGTGATTGTTTTGCAGATTGTCTTTCCAAACCTCGAGAAGTTGGAGTTGTCCTCGCTCAACATTGAAAGTATATGGAGCAGTCAGCTTTCTGCAAAATCCTGCTGTTTTCAGAGTCTGACGGATTTGATCATTGAGGGCTGTGATTATTTGAAACACCTGTTGTCATTCTCTATGGCTAAATGTCTAGTTCAGCTTAGATACCTTCGGATAGAAAATTGCAAGAGGATGAGAGAGATAATTGCACCAGAGTATCCAGAAGAAATGGAAGATTTGATTTTGTTCCCCATGTTAAACGACCTGTATATGGGAGATCTTGAAAACCTTTGTAGATTTTGCTCCGGAAACTATAGTATTGAATTCACAACCTTGAAGAAATTGTTTATAGACAATTGTTCAGCATTGAATGGGTTCATAGTCAATGTGGGCACAGATTTCACAGGTGGAATACAGCCCCTCTTTAATGAAAAGGTACAAATTTTTATTTCACTTCCATTTTGGCCTTAATTTTAGTAACTAATTCTGTTCCCTTAATAATTTTGATTAATTTGGCAAATTATGCAGGTTGCTTTTCCCAGCTTGGAACAATTGGAAATCAGGAGCTTAAAGATATTGAGGATCATATGGCACCACCAACTCCCTGCAGATTCATTCTGCAAACTAAAAAATTTATCCATTTCATTGTGTGATAAATTATTAAATATTTTTCCATCTTATAAGCTTGCCAGATTATTGACATCAGTGGAGGAGTTAAGGGTAAGAGAATGTGATAGTCTAGAAGAGATATTTGAACTTGGGGAATTGAATGTGGAAGAGTCACATGCTGTGGTAAACACTCGGTTAAGAGATTTGTCTTTGTGGTATTTACCAAGGTTGAAGCATTTGTGGAGCAGGGATCCCTGCAGAATTCTCACTTTCCTGAACTTGTGGTCCGTGGCAGTTGCCCGTTGCAAGAACCTCAAAAATATATTTCCAGCTTCATTGGCTATGGACCTTCAGCAACTTGAAGTGTTGAAGATAGAAGAGTGCGATGTGATGGAGGAAGTTGTAGCATTGGAAGTAGGAGATGAAGCAGTTCCTAGGTTTGCGCTTCCTCATTTATCTACTATTGAGCTGCGGGATCTACCAAGTCTCAAATATTTCTATCCTCGAAAACACATAATAGAGTGCCCCAAGTTAAAAGATTTCTATGCATATGGTTGCGGCTCTTCAGTAGAAACAAAAGGAGAAAGGCTTGGCATATCTCCGATTCAACAACTGCTTTTCTCTATGGAAAAGGTATGAGCCTCAGTTACAAAACAATTTTATAGTAACTATTTTTTTTTGTCCTTTTTGGCTTTTGCTTCCGAGTTTTGGTTAGATCTATTACGTAGCTCTTGTCAAAACAAAATTTAACAGCTGTTGTTCATAAGGAAAATAATTCGCTATAAGCAATTTCTTAAAATGAATTGTCAAAGGTAAAAAAAATATGAAGAATAAATTTATAGGACACAAAAGTTTAAAGCAAACATAGTTATTCGGCATTTACCAAAGAAAATATGGGTTTATTAAGCTAAT